CAATCTTGTAAATCAGTAATAGCAATTGGAATGGAGGTGACAGAGACACACTGTTGGTTGGACTCGACAGTCACGTTATACTGGATCAATGGACAAGGTGAGTACCAGCAGTTCGTATCCAATCGAGTGAAAAAGGTCAAAGAACTCGACCAGATTAGACGGCATCATTTCAAATGAAAAACCTAGGTGTGTTGTTGTGGTTTTTAGGAATAGAATTTAACTGTACAGAAGGCACTATTAAGATGAGTCAGACTAAATACATAGAGAAAGTCCTATCTAGATTCACAATGCAAAACTGTAAGCCTAGGACCTCACCATGTGAAATGAACTCAATGAAGAATGTCAGAGACAGAGTAGAATCAGACCCGCTGACAAACGATTATATAGGGAGATAGTTGGCAGTTTAGTCTATGTGATGACTTCTACTAGACGAGATCTTTGCTACAGCGTGACAAAACTCTCTCAATATTTGTCCGCTCCCACGGTGGATCACCTAAACACTGCTAAGCATGTCCTACGATATCTGAAAGGTACTTCAAATAAAGGTCTTGTTTTCCTGACATATTTACGAAGCCAGTCACAGGATCAAAAATGAAAGTATTTCTGAAATGTATTCTAGCAGAGTAAACTCACTTTTTGTAAATAGTTCTATTTCTATCAATGTTAATATTATATGTTTAAGTGGGGGTGTTAAGATAAACAATATTCAGATGACGTCAGTCTATCTATGAACATGTGTCATAATCACATGAACACTAGTAGTATAAAGTTTTGTTTCATGTAATTGTTAAGTTAGTTGGAACTGTTCAAGTAGTTGAACTGTTGTAGTAGACTCCAGTACTTGTAAGTTGTATGAGTTTTCGTTAATAAATATTGTTATATATAAGTCTTCCACTGTCATCAGTTTAAAATTTTGGAATGTTAAGACTCTCTGGTTTAAATAGCCAGCAACATTCCATAATTATAATCAAATTAATTTTAATCTAATATATAGAGTTAATGTTAGACTTTTTAATTAAATTTAACATAGTAATTCCAATTATTCCTATTCTGAGTAACACTAACACAACAAGTAACTTCAAGGGTGCTGGTGCAGTTGGGAAGCCTGCCCTATGTATGCTCATGGCCATTTGATGTATTAATCTTACCAGTCTAACTTTTCCAAGTTAAGATTGTCTAGTTTGTTGCAGTTTGCGTGTTTATATGATTTTAATTAATTGAATAAAGACAGACTTAATAAACTGAAGCGCCTTATCTGTTATGCTACCCCCGCCTGCCCTTGATTGCTTCCGGTGCCTCTAAGTAATTTCTGGCAGATATACACATAGGATAAACATTATTCAGATGACGTCAGTCTATCTATGAACATGTGTCATAATCACATGAACACTAGTAGTATAAAGTTTTGTTTCATGTAATTGTTAAGTTAGTTGGAACTGTTCAAGTAGTTGAACTGTTGTAGTAGACTCCAGTACTTGTAAGTTGTATGAGTTTTCGTTAATAAATATTGTTATATATAAGTCTTCCACTGTCATCAGTTTAAAATTTTGGAATGTTAAGACTCTCTGGTTTAAATAGCCAGCAACATTCCATAATTATAATCAAATTAATTTTAATCTAATATATAGAGTTAATGTTAGACTTTTTAATTAAATTTAACATAGTAATTCCAATTATTCCTATTCTGAGTAACACTAACACAACAAGTAACTTCAAGGGTGCTGGTGCAGTTGGGAAGCCTGCCCTATGTATGCTCATGGCCATTTGATGTATTAATCTTACCAGTCTAACTTTTCCAAGTTAAGATTGTCTAGTTTGTTGCAGTTTGCGTGTTTATATGATTTTAATTAATTGAATAAAGACAGACTTAATAAACTGAAGCGCCTTATCTGTTATGCTACCCCCGCCTGCCCTTGATTGCTTCCGGTGCCTCTAAGTAATTTCTGGCAGATATACACATAGGATAAACATTATTCAGATGACGTCAGTCTATCTATGAACATGTGTCATAATCACATGAACACTAGTAGTATAAAGTTTTGTTTCATGTAATTGTTAAGTTAGTTGGAACTGTTCAAGTAGTTGAACTGTTGTAGTAGACTCCAGTACTTGTAAGTTGTATGAGTTTTCGTTAATAAATATTGTTATATATAAGTCTTCCACTGTCATCAGTTTAAAATTTTGGAATGTTAAGACTCTCTGGTTTAAATAGCCAGCAACATTCCATAATTATAATCAAATTAATTTTAATCTAATATATAGAGTTAATGTTAGACTTTTTAATTAAATTTAACATAGTAATTCCAATTATTCCTATTCTGAGTAACACTAACACAACAAGTAACTTCAAGGGTGCTGGTGCAGTTGGGAAGCCTGCCCTATGTATGCTCATGGCCATTTGATGTATTAATCTTACCAGTCTAACTTTTCCAAGTTAAGATTGTCTAGTTTGTTGCAGTTTGCGTGTTTATATGATTTTAATTAATTGAATAAAGACAGACTTAATAAACTGAAGCGCCTTATCTGTTATGCTACCCCCGCCTGCCCTTGATTGCTTCCGGTGCCTCTAAGTAATTTCTGGCAGATATACACATAGGATAAACATTATTCAGATGATGTCAGTCTATCTATGAACATGTGTCATAATCACATGAACACTAGTAGTATAAAGTTTTGTTTCATGTAATTGTTAAGTTAGTTGGAACTGTTCAAGTAGTTGAACTGTTGTAGTAGACTCCAGTACTTGTAAGTTGTATGAGTTTTCGTTAATAAATATTGTTATATATAAGTCTTCCACTGTCATCAGTTTAAAATTTTGGAATGTTAAGACTCCCTGGTTTAAATAGCCAGCAACATTCCATAATTATAATCAAATTAATTTTAATCTAATATATAGAGTTAATGTTAGACTTTTTAATTAAATTTAACATAGTAATTCCAATTATTCCTATTCTGAGTAACACTAACACAACAAGTAACTTCAAGGGTGCTGGTGCAGTTGGGAAGCCTGCCCTATGTATGCTCATGGCCATTTGATGTATTAATCTTACCAGTCTAACTTTTCCAAGTTAAGATTGTCTAGTTTGTTGCAGTTTGCGTGTTTATATGATTTTAATTAATTGAATAAAGACAGACTTAATAAACTGAAGCGCCTTATCTGTTATGCTACCCCCGCCTGCCCTTGATTGCTTCCGGTGCCTCTAAGTAATTTCTGGCAGATATACACATAGCGGGCCTTAGAAGCTAGGCTCACAAGTTACAGCAGGAACAGTGAGTTTATCCTTACATACTATTAAAGTATACAATAATGTACTTGTATGAATTCACCTTTTCACCAATAGCGACGCCATCTTGAAATTTTGGTTTTGCGCTATGCATGATGGTCTATCCAGGGTAAAAATTTAAAACAAAACATAAACTTTTAAATATACAATTAATTGTAGCTATTTTATGATTTTATTGAGAAAACCAGGTTTGTTGTTATAAAAATGGGGAAATATGATCGCTGTGCTGTTGCCTAGTGCAACAATGCGAGAGCTTATAAGGAAACAAAGTGGCAATTCATACGGCACCCGTATCGATAAATCACTGTGCTATACGCCATTTTGGGGTTCGTGATGCCATCTTGTAAGTGGGGCAAATTAAAATTCAAAATGGCGTCGGGATGTTTGGCTGCTAGGTAATCACACTTGAATAAAGCAATCAAATATCAGGTTACAACTCTGCATATTAAATAACAATGGGGATGATAACAATAAACAGATGTTGTGTTGGCTCGTGTAGTAATAATAAGAGGTATACAAATAAAGTGCGAAAACATGGCCATGTGGATGTTTTAAGATGGCATTGCTTCACTACCGATCCAGTCAAGCATAAAGAATTGATTAAACTGATCGGAAGTGGTCAAGCTGATTTTCAGCCTGGGAGGTGGACTTTTGTATGCTCAAGCTATTTTGTGGACGGTGAACCAACGTCTGCAAATCCAAATCCAACTATGTTTTTAAGGCTAACGAATCAACAAAAAATCACAGAGAAAACGACATTGACTAACATGTGAAAATCCTGCAACACAGCAACAGGTCGAAAGTGATAGTGATATAGAAGAGGAACAACGGACAAATTCGGCAGCGTTTACGCCATCTATTACATTTGAACATTTGACATGTGAACATGATGTACGGTTTTACACAGGTTTTATCAATGGAGATATTAATATAAGTTTTAAAGCTTCAACTATGAGATATTGGGATGTTGCTAAACGAACATCAGAATCTAGTTCATATAGTGAAGGTGTCATAGTTGTGAAGCGAGCTCGGGAAACTTGGCGTCAAGTTTAATCCAGGGAAGTGTAAGATAGGATGCACTGAACTGCCTTTCTTTAGGCATATCATCAGCGCTGATGGTCTAAAGATGGACCCTAGAAAGACACAAGCACTCATCAACATGGATCCTTCGAAGAGCTTAGCAAACCTCCAGACCTTTCTTGGCATGATCCAGTATCTTAGTCGTTTCATTCCAAACCTGGCCTCAGTTTCAGCTAATCTTTGGGACTTGACCAAGAAGAACAACCACTTCATTTGGGGCCCGGTACATCAATCTCCTGTTAAGAGGATTAAGGTTATGATCACGTCACCTAGATATCTTCAGTGCTTTGACGGTACTCAACCAGTCACTATCCAAGTCGATGCTTCTCAGTGTGGTCTTAACGCAATCTTGATTCAAGAAAATGGCCCTGTAGAATATCGTAACAAGCTACTTACGGACACAGAAACCCGATACTCCAATATTGAGAGAGAGAGATGCTAGCAGTCATCTATGGGCTCGAGAAATTTAATTATTATGCATATGGCCGTCATGTTGTTGTGGAAACAGACCATAGGCTACTTAAAGCCATCTTCAAGAAGCATTTGTCCACTGCACCACCTCGGATTGCAAGGATGATGCTACATATTCAAAAGTATGATGTCGATATAAAGTATGTTTCAGGTAAGAATGTAGCTATGGCAGACGCCCTTTCATGGCTTGACCCTTGCGAAGGTGACACAATTGAAGGGGTCGATGTATCCATCCACAAGTTCCAAGTTTACCTGAATGCAAGTCCACCTAGAGTTAAGCAGATCAAGAATGAAACCGCTAAAGACCGAGAACTTCATTCTCTCAAGGCGTTTGTCACCCAAGGATGGCCTGAGAAGAGAGTGGAATGTCCCAGCCATTTGCATCCGTATTGGAACTATCGAGATGAGTTAACTGTTTTTGATGGAGTGATTCTAAAGGGCACTAGGATCTTATTTCCTAAGAGTTTACAGGCTGAAGTCTTGGATCAGCTCCACTACGCTCACCAAAGAATCGAAAAATGTAAACTCAGAGCTAAGGGGTCAGTCTTCTGAGTGAATATAAACGCTGATCTAGAAGAAATGGTAAAAGGTTGCAGTTGGAACAAGTCAACATAACCAAAGGATGAATGTTAGAGAACCCCTTACGCCGCATGACATCCCACGAAAACCGTGGCACACCCTTGGATGTGACCTATTCTTTTGGAACAATTCGTCGTACTTGCTGATTTCTGATTATTTCAGTAAATTTCTATTGGTGCGAAAACCTAGCAATTTGGAGTTGTCCACAACAATTGCACACTTGAAAGGGATCTTTGAAGAACATGGAATCCCCGATACTTTGATCACAGGAAATGATACGCAGTTTATGTCTGCAGCGTTCCAGGAGTTCTGCCGTGTCTATGGGTTTGCTCATGTTGCTACCCCAATCGAGACCCCAAAGTCTTACGTTGTGAAATTAACCAATGAAAGTACACTGAAAAGAAATCGCTGGCACATTCGTCCAACAGGGGAAAATTTTGGAACAATGTCACCAGACATGCCCTCATCATCGTTACCTGACCTTGTAAGTCCTTCTGATGTTGATAGCAGTACAGCCAATGGACCTAATGAACCTTCATCTCCACCTAAACCACAGGAAGATCCAAGGACCCCACCACTTCGAAGTTCATCCAGGATGGTTAAGCCCCCAGGGAGACTTCATTTATGAACTGTCTTTTTTTTTGGATAGAAATTAAGGCAAGACACTTATTTTTTAAGAAAAACAGAGATTAACAAGTTACAAGTTTTAAAAAGTTATAGAGTTTTATAATCTAATGACGATTAACATTATTTTAATAATCGTAGATTAGTTTAGTTAAATTAACCATGATATAGCACCATAATACTAATATAGTTAATGAAGTTAAGACTGGATCTTTTACAGCAAGATTTGGCAAATAGATTTGGGGTGGGCATAGGAAAAGTTTCCCAAATATTTACAACATGGATTAAGCTGTTGTCAAGAGAGTTAGCATTTCTTGTAATCTGGCCATCAAGAGGTCAAGTAAGAAAAACTCTTCCACTGTGTTTTAAGAAGTTATACCCAAAGGTTCGGACAATCATTGACTGCACACGAAGTGTTTACAGAGACCCCAAGTTGTTTAGAAGTCCACAACCTTTTGTGGAGTGATTACAAGCATCACACCACAATACAATTTCTAGTTTGCATTACCCCAAATGGTGCAACATCGTGGATATCACCAGCATACGTTTTACGGACTAGTGATGTTCATATTGTACAAACATCTCAGGGTTTATGAAAATGCTGGAGCCGTTTGACCAGATAATGGCTGATAGGGGTTTCAAGATAAAAAACTTTTGGCTCTGCATCAATGTACACTGGCTATTCCACCAAGTGCAGCTAAAAGGGTTCAAATGACAAGTGGTCAATCAAATGAAACTTCAACAGTTGCATATGTGAGAATATATGTAGAACAAGCAATTAAAAACTTGAAAGATTACCGTATTTTAAAAACAGAGTTACAGTTATTGTATTTACCTATAGTAGATGACATTATAAAAGTATGTGCTGCTTTGCACAATCTCAAGAAACCTTTGAAAATATAGTTATGCAAAAAAGTTTTGCTTTATTTATTTCCCATCTGTAATTACACTATAACAAGTTGAGTTCAGCTTTGGTTTGCCATTATACAAAAAGCACTTAGCCATTTCTCTGGTAAGTTTTCAGCTTCAGCCACTGATAGGTTTTGGCATTTCAAATGATACCATAGTTGGCAATTGTCACATTGGACACTTTTAAAATCCTGTTCTTCCTTTTCACTTATCTCATGTGATTCCAATAGCACATGGTCGCGCACACCACAAAAGCGAATTTCTTTGAGACCCAACAAACAGGACAGATACAACCCTTGAAAAATATAGTCAAGTTCTGTTCCACTTTCTCCCAGCGTGTGCCGTCAAAATCAATCTCCTCAATCATCATATCTTTCTCTGTCCAAACAATAAGTAGCCCAATTTTTTTCCAGTAACTCCCATTTGGCTAATTATTTGAGTGTAGTATTTGTGAGATCTTTAAGTCGCACCTTCCCTGTGTCTAGATCTTGTTCCAAAAAATCACATTCCTGCCCACCTTCCCTAATTGTTTTGCCCCTAAATTTAAATGGTCATTTAATTTGAATTACTGCATCTTCATGGCATGCACATGAAAATAAGCCATCTAAAGAAGCTGCAATATAAGGCTTATTAGGATCAATGAACAAACCACAAGCTGTCAACTTGTATTTTTGGTGTTTTATTGCTTCTTGAGCATAGAACTGTTTCAATGCTACTTCTTTGTACTCTTCCCCATTTGATAACATTAATGTTGTCAAGGTTTGTATCAAGAAATTTGTAAATTAAACAAGACTTACCTGGAAGTTGAAGTTTGATTAGGATTCTATCAGTCTACCACAGAGCAGAGATTACATGAGAGAGCACGCATGCGCTGCGCTGATCATATTTCAAAACTGAGTACCCCAATACCTGTATCGTGCAAGAAGACTTTGCAGGGAGGTATATAGGGCGGGCATGTAATCTCTGCTCTGTGGTAGACTGATAGAATCCTAATCAAACTTCAACTTCCAGGTAAGTCTCGTTTAATTTACAAATTCTATCAGTCTTACCACCGCAGAGATTCCATGAGATTTTAAAGCATTGGGGTGCGAAGTTGCACTAAACCCAAAAACCAGTAATCACAGTTTGAACACAACTGTTAACTTTAATTTCAAATTTACACTACAAAACCAGTACAGCCATTTAATTGGTAACATCGCTTAATATGGCTTTACCAAAACTGTCATCATCACAGTCTTCATTACTTTTGCCAACATGCTTGTTGTAGAATTTTTTGAAAGTGCAGTCTGTTGTCCAGCTAGCAGCTTTCATAATGTTGGCAATCGGGACATTGCACTGATTTGCTTTGCTTGTGGAAGCCGCTCGAGTGCTGTGAGGTCGATATATTGCTGTGTCAATACCAGCACACTTCATAACATGTTTTATCCATCGTCCGATAGTGTCTTTTGAGACCTTCTTATGTGGACGAACAAAACTAATGAACAACTGCGATTCATGTGACCTCAATATCTTTGTTCGGTCAAGGTACTCCTCTAACGTTGAATAAACACATAACCGGTGGTCCTCAAGGAATTTTGGTATGATAAGGACCGGTTGTTTTCTGCCTGGAGCAGATTGCTTTACCAATTCCTTTATAACAAATTGATAGGCGAATGAGTTCTTTGTTAGGGAATCCAAGTTCATGAGATGTAAAGTCTGACAACGTTGCCCTGTAACTAAGGCGCATAGCATTATTAATTTGTATGTCAGGTCACGTAGTTTAATGCTGTGAAGCTCAGGAAAGGTTTGTAAATAACGTAAAACTTTATTAGTATCCCAAGTGTCTTGGTAACGAGGTAAGGAAGGTCTTGTTTGGAACACCCCTTTTACCAGCCTCTGAACCAGAGGATGATTCCCAATTGTAATGTTTCCTTCAATTGTTATCAACCCAGACAGGGCACATCTGGCAGTATTAATCCCAGAGTAGCCTAAGCCATCCTTATATAAATTGGATAAGAAATCCAAAACATAATTCACAGGTGGGTGAAAGGGATCAATTGATTGTTCACTACTAAAGGTTTGCCATTTATTCCAGTATGTATGATATTGTTTCTGAGTGCCCTGTCTCCAGGAGTTGAGGATAAGTTCCTGAGCCGGGTGTGAAATTCCTTTACTCTCCAAGGCTGACCGGATAATCGACATGCCATTAGTTGAAGCTTTCTTTCCAGTGGGTGAGGCTTGTCTGGATCGAATGGCAGGTAAATTGTCCTCTCCCTTTGTGGGAGCATTACAGGTTGTTCTATGAGCATCCTCGCTAACTGTGAATACCAAGGTTGAGCGCTCCATTTTGGAACTACTATTATCGCTTCCACTTTCTCCCGTAAAATTTTCTGTAGAACTGGTGCTATGAGACTAAAAGGAGGGAAAGCGTAGATGAGAGAATAATTCCAATTCAGTGTGAATGCATCAATAGCAATAGCCTGGGGGTCAGGCCTCCATGAGACATATGGCAAGGTTTGATAATTTAATCTGGAGGCAAACATGTCAATGTCAGGTTCCCCCCATAGTTTGACAATATCCGAGTAGATGGCTTCATTTAGTTTCCACTCTGTGGTGTCATCAAAAACTCGTGAAGCCTTATCTGCTAGCACATTATCAACACCTGGTATGTGTGAGACAGAGAGCCAAATGCCCCTCTCCTTGCACCACAACCAGATGTCTCGAGCCATGCTGTTGCATGGCAGAGAATGAGAGCCTCCCATGTTACGGATATATGCAACCGCAGTAGTGTTATCTGTTAAAACTTTTATGTGGCAATTAGATGATTTGCCGCATAAAGATTGTAGTCCCAGCAACACAGCTTTTAACTCTAAATAGTTGATATGGTGTTGCTGTTCATTGGTAGACCATCTTCCCCCAACAGAGGCATGGTCTTTGTTGGCACCCCAACCCAATAAGGATGCATCTGTAGTTAAGACGGATTCAAAACGGCCGTGGTCAATAGCCTTTTTTGATAGATGAGCATATGAAATCCACCAATGAATATCTGATATAGCAATATCAGATAATGTCATAGTGGCATCAAAATTACCCTTAGCAAGCTTCAGTGCTGATGATTTATCAATCTCTAATTGCCTATAATAAAGTTCCCCAAACTCCACCCCCGGGAAGCACGACACCATGTGGCCTATCAGCTTGGCCACTAGTCGAATGGGCAATGATGAATGACTGATTACCGACTCAGCAACTTCTCTAAGTTTGTTGATTTTATCATTGGTAAGAGACACAGTCATATCTATTGAATTGAGTATAAAACCTAGATGTTGTATAGTCTGCGTAGGGATGGTAACAGACTTGTCCTCATGAGGGTAAAGCCCTAAATCACTCAGGAGATTATACGTGTCTACAATGTTAGCTTTGCATTCCTCATAAGAGTACCCCACTAACCACGAGTCATCCAGGTAGGTGCTGGATAGATGCCCTTTCTCTCTAAGATAGGCAAAAACAGGTTTCATAACCTTGGTAAATAACCGTGGTGCACAAGCTAAACCCTGAGCAAGGCATGTGAAATGGTAAAGTTTGCCACCCCTAGCAAATTTCAGGTATTTCTGATGATCCTTATGCACCGGGATGGAGTAATATGCATCATGGAGGTCAATAGACCCCATGTAACAGTTATGCCTCATAAGTTGAGTGCATGTATGGATGGAATCCATTTTGAAGTGATGATAGTTAACCCATTTATTCAGATCTTTTAGGTTAAGGATCATACGAAAGGTCCCATCTTTCTTCTGTCTAAGAAAAACAGGTGAGATAAACTGATTTGGTTCATGAGAGGATTCTACAATGATGCCTTTTCTGAGAAATTTCTCTATTTGTAGAGAAATATTGGTGTCCTCAAACGAAGAACACCTCGGTCCAGATGGAACTTTTAACTGAACTGGTTGAATAAAAAAGTCAATCTTATAACCAGTTATAGCTGTCAAGATAGTACTATCAGAAGTTAGTCTATACCAGGCATCTATGTAATTCTTAACATTGCCTGCCATGAAGGTGCTGTATTCAACACAATCACCTTCATCAAATAACAAGGGAATGCTAATATCCCTATCATAG